TAGAGACGCTGTCTGTCCCTCGAATCCAAGCTGGGAGCTGGGAGCCTGAAGGCTCTGCCTCCCGTTCTACTCTGAGATAAAGAGCAAAGCCTCAGATCTGTGCTCAGACTGACCGGTATACGGTGCTTGGCTCTGAACACAGCCACTCGTTTGATGTCTTCATCTGTGATGTTGGTGGGGATGACCAGGACGGAAGGATACGTGTCACATAGCTCATAGGTGCTGTTTATCTTACTGATGGTCCAGCTCTCATTAGGAAGCCCCTGACAAAAGACATCCAAGCAGAGGAAAGAAACAAAGTCTGGATAATGTAGAAAACAAATCTGATACACCTGTAACTTGTTCACACATAAAATGTTCAGGATGCTGGAAAAGTAAGTGCTATTAAAAAAGAAACAGAAACATTTTGCAACAAATGAGGTTAACTGGCAACATGTCAGTCGTAGAGTAACGGCGCCCGTGGAGTTACCTGACGTCTGTATTCTGCTGCTGGGTCATACACCTTCCAGCCGTCCACAGGAAACTGCTCTTTGTACAGGAAGGCAAACAAGGGCTGCCAGAGGAAGTCACAGTTACAGTATTAGTCATGCAGATGTAACAAACAGCAGTTTTTACTATAACCGCCCTCACTCACGACCAGTTTGCCTTATGGGACCAACCAAAAGCCTTCTACAGCTAACTGTCAAACTCCTCACTATCCTCCAACCTTTGCTCCTCTTTATCATTTTGTATGTTGGTGCTTGCGTCTGCTATCTGTCACTGGATGTTGTGAGGCAGATCTGAGTGACACGTCAGTTAAAAGCAGTAAATACAGGACAAGAGAATCAAACTGACCAGACTGTGGGACAGAGGAAAGGCATGTTTGGTCAGCACCTCCACCACGTCCGGCTGGCTCTCCTCCATCTTATAGGCAAACCTGGGACTCCTCATGTCCTGAAGCATGAAGCAGGAAACTGCTCAATGAGCAGACTCGCCAAAATAAGACATTTGCACATTTTCTGGGTTTTTCTTTTATTGCTGTTAAATAAAAATGCCTATAAGATGTTAGATGACGTGTTTTAACACATGTAATCATGCATTTGTGTGACTGCTTGTGTATTAAAGCGGTACCTTGCAGACCAGCTCCAGTCCCTTGTTGTTCTCTCCTTGGTTGGGAACACTGATAGATTCGATCCTGCTGATGACTCCCAGGTTCACATCCAGAATGAAGGGAGAGTCCTGAATGGACACACTAACATGAACACACTGGTACAGATGGAGCGCGCTACAGCACTTCTAATAATCGAGCAGACCTTTTCCACACTGATGAAGTACAGCTTGTAGTCTGTGACGGTCAAAGTCCCAGTAACCAGACCGCTGAATGGACAAATGTACATCACATCCTTGACTGTAGGAAAAGGAAAGCGCTGATTACACAGGTGTATTTGTATGACTGGACAATACACATAGAGACTAGGAAGAATGAAGGTACCTGTAGTTTGGATGGTCTCTCCAGGGAGCAGAGGAACCTGGTTCTGGAACATTTTGACCTGTGCTCCGTATCTCAGACCTGGGAGGGTCTGCAAAGATCACAGATCACTCAGTGGGACCACTACACACCTGTTTTATGTTAGCTAGTACTTGCAGACACATCGTTATCAAGCCTGTAATGAAGAGGTATTTTGCTACTGTTGCAAAATAAACTCATCAGTGTTAGAACAATAATCCTTTTTGCTAAAGCATATAGTT